ACCTTGGACAATTATGTTTCTTCCGCGGAGAAACTTCTCGCGAGATTCTTTAGGGACGTTTCGTATGATATTGCGCTCAGAGTACGGTATGTCGGGCAATATTCTTACGTTACCATCTGATTTCAGCAAGTGACTTGCTAGCAAGACGTCCTCTACGTCGGTAGCATTCTTAAGTGTTACTCGGATAAGCCTTGGGTGATTTAGATGCTTAGAATCCTTTCCTCGAGTGAGCCGGGTGACCGTCAAAGGCTCTATTCTAGGAAGTTCGAGCTTCCTGTTCAATTCAGCCCACAGCATCCTGTCGTTTTTGTCCTGCAGACCGAGAGGAAGGTCAGGATTGTCAACGAGGTTCATGACAATGAGAGAATCGTCACGAACTGTTGTTAATTTACCAGGTTTCACGACGGGTTCCGGTTTAATAACTTGTTGTTTGGAGGTCAGTGTGCGTTTATGAATCTTGGGCTCTTTATTGACCGGACGAACAGTCTTGGGGGTAGACTGTGCGACTAAATCACCAGTTATTTTCCGTGCAGCAACACTTGGGTTGCTCGGCTTAGGCGGTGATGCCTGGTTCTTTTGAGCTCTCTTAACGTGGGTCGAATCACCTGCAGGGTTTTTGGGAATCACTCTTGTGTTCAGGGACCCTGAGCTGGGAGACCCGAGTTTGCCTAGGGAGTCTAGTACCGTCGACGTAATGATGGTACTGAGCCTCGACACGTCGTCATTAGTGTTGATGGATGCTCCATCGATGGTATACCTATCGACATCCCTATTTTTGAGTCCGTTGCACGCCTTGTTTGTATATCGGTTTTTTTACTATCGTTTTCCAAGTTAACTGACAACTTGTTCCGAAGACCTGTCAGTAGGACAATGATGTTACTCAGCAAGACTACTGCGTCCGTGCTGCACGTGACACATACCCCCTTTTGGTCCGACTTGCTGAGTCTGTTGTAAGCAGTTGCTTTCAGATTTGTGCATGCTTCGTGGAACCAACCTTTGCAGTTGTCGCACTGCATGCCAGTTGTGACAGCAAAACGGCATCCCGGACGTTTGCAAGAGTTTTTCATGACGGTGTTGAAGCGAACTATGTTATAGATGCTTGCAAGAGCCTAAGACCTTTTAAAAAACACTAAAAAGCACACTGAAAACGGACAAAAATGGACAAAACGAGTGATATAAACTGAAACTAGTCTATACGTGAAAAACAAAAAAACCGAATAGTAAGCTGAGGCAAAACCACAGGTAACTATTAAATATAGTGAAACTCAAAAAAGTAATCTACCGAACGTATAGCTCAGGATAGATTCTGTAGAACTGAAATGGTACTTTTGTTGCGTAAGAACACAGCAAAAGTTTGATAAATGCAAATCACGTTAGGACTAAACTTCCCGTTCGAAAAGCGCGCAGATCGAGTTTGTTAAAGAGTCCAACTTCTAGCAAGTTTGTAGTGGCATTGGACAATAGCCACACAATCCACAAAGCTGTGAACACGAGACTGCTCAGAAAATAAATATTCAATATTTAACGCCGAGAAATACCTAACAATGGAGAAGGCGCGAACAAGGAATTGAATGGACTGGAGTTGATCGAGTGGCATGGCTCGTCCATGCAGACGTGGTCCATCTCAGTGTTACTTTATATCTTCTATTCATATTAAATACATTGTTCTTTCTCTAGCCTAACCTTGTTCCTCATCATGTATTGGTAATTGATACGATACAGTGAGTTGGTGTAGTCGATGGTGTGACTTCCACGTAAGATCTTATAGATTAGGCAGTTATATCATGACAAATCTACAAATTTAGGATTAGTTCTATTATAAGAGCAGTACTACTATCATAGTAGACCATAATTCTACATTGGTGAGCCCAACTAAAGAAACGCAACCTATTATTATTAATCCTTATTTCCACTTCAACTTTCTCGATCGATTTTATATTTATGTTAACCCTGTATTCCAATAGTCCTCTGATTAATGCTCACATGCATTATCGTAATGTCATATTGATTAGTCCTCATGACAAACTAGCTCAATCGATAATAAAAACTGGTCGTCTATATTAACTAATTAGCTTTGATGATTTGTTAACAAGCTGTAATAGCATTTACATGCTTCAGCGACATAGTCTTGTTTAAACATCAAGCTCTAGCAAATATGACCTGTAAATAGCGTAAATATACATTGACTAACAATGCAATCAAGGACTAAATAGTTATCTGGATCTAATTCTCAGTGTTCCTTCACTTAACACCTCATCCTGTTTTAAACGATGCACTATCCTGTAATATCTTTTCTTCCGACCACTGCCTGCCTAATTTCATATTCTCGAGTTCCATTGCCAAACAACGAGGATGACTACTCCAAAAACATACGGTGAGTTCCAGCTATAAGTTTTCTGCAATCATAAGTTCATTTTAGATGGCACACACAATTATCTGGATTCATTCAGTTGTTCTGATCAGAGCGAGTCCCAAAGACCTCAACAGCATCAAGCACCCTGTAAGTGATTGCCATACTGTATGTTTTATTCTGGATGCTTTTGGATCATTACTACTCCTCACGAATGGCGTTATATATGTCGTCCACTGAATAATCTAATTTTCAAAAATAATCCAGGCGAGTTCAACTATTTTACTGGATGATTTTTTTTACTTAACATGTATATGTTTTCCGGTTCCTTTTGCTATATATTTGTAAGTGTCCCTAGGCTAAATGCAGTAACTTCTTATGGAATGTTTATAACGCATCATATTCCTGCCTGAAGTTTCACAAGCAGTCTAAACTCTAAAATTATTTTCTGGTCATGTTCATTATTTTTAAATCGTCATATACGTCAACAACCTGCATGTTAACCTGGCCCATACATACGTTACACTATATCTCCATGTCTTCTAAATTTAGAAATCATCTGCATCGCCTTTACCATTTATCAATAAACCCATCATAGTCGTTGTTGCTAATCGTATTTGGGTTTATGGATTGGTTTATCATATTAGCAGCCTAAAATGCGAACATAGTTTAGATAATAAGATTAAAAATTTAGGTACTATCAACTGCACTAGTAAAATAACTAAATCCCTAGGTAGCTGTTGGCTAAACAAACGTTTAAAATCAAAACTCCGTAGCCTACTAGAATTAACACTAAACGAATATTTCTGAATTGAAATTTATAATTAAATTAGGCGTCTCGGATTCTTTAACGTCATAAATTTCTGATAACTTCAAAGCACCTAAAGCAAGCAACAATACCTATTTTTCCACTGACTAATCCTCAATCAACACTATAACTAGTTAAATTTAATAGTTTCAGGATATCGTCATAAAGCATTGTCATAACTTGACAATCACGTAATATGACTGATAAAATTAATGAAACTATTAACGAAATCGGTCAACAAATTCACTTATAATTACCATTAAATGGTGTTGTTTTCTTGGTATCTTCATCCATCACAGATGATTACAGTATGTTTCTCTATCAGTTGCTCATTCAGTAAATATCTCAAAACCGTGTCAGTCTAATTGATGGTTTAGCGACACAATCATGCATGCAAATAATCAGTATAAGCAGTCGAGCAAATCTCCTGCAAACTGAAAACATCAATGTCGAATTTACCCCAACACTGACTAAGGTTCAAGCCATTATCATAGACATGAGTTGGGAGTGTACTCCCCCTGGTTACAACTTATGTTCTCCCTGATAATCACATGAGCATCACTCACTATTAATCATCTTGTAAAAGCTTATTTAGCTAAATACATTTTGCAGCACCACATCACTTCGTAATATGACACAGGTCTAACTGATTTTAATAACTTGTAACCACTATATCTCAATTAAATCGTGTTCCGCCTTATGATAAACTGCATACTTGCAACTAACTTGTATGTCCAATCAGCCGGCAAGTATAAATACAAGTAAATAGTCTGCCACAGATCAGAACATTGAGTCTAGAGCATGTCTCTTACGAATACGCTCATGTTTAACGATTTGTTCCTAGCTATCTGTCCAAAATTCATATAATCATCACTCACGTATTTAAATTTTATTTTGATAACCATTCATGTGTATTAGTAGTATTACCAAATTCTATCACGGTCAAGTAAAAATGAGGTTGAGAGAATCTCCCCGTAACTAAATAAACCGTATCAAACTAACTGGAACACTAGTTGGAATTCTTTACCATGGTAATACTTTTGTTCCTTCAGTTAGCCTACTGATACAGATGCAATTGGAAATCAACTCTTATGGACAACTTACCGGCATAATCGTTATCCGATTTCATAATTTAAACCAAAACTAATACCAATATTAACATTTCTACAATATTCATTATTTTAATATTTCTAAACACAAAATAATTACTGCCTATAAGTTAAGTTATTATCACGCATCGTTTTATTATTATTATTATTGTAACCCCACTTTTTTATAGCTTAAATAATCTTCACCCAGATTTTCATTTCAAGCGTTTTAAAAATGAAGGCAGATATTTTAAAATTATTACATGTATTTCCCGACCAGATGCTGCCGCTTTCTTTTTGATTTATCTTTCAGCTTACCAATACCCGGAGGATTCTTATTATCCTTGGTAACCTCCGGCGCGCGACGATCCCATCCAATTTGGTATCGAACCAACATCACGTTGATTCTGGTGGGAGGGTAGTGTAGTGGCATTGGACAATAGCCACACAATCCACAAAGCTGTGAACACGAGACTACTCAGAAAATAAATATTCAATATTTAACGCCGAGAAATACCTAACAATGGAGAAGGCGCGAACAAGGAATTGAATGGACTGGAGTTGATCGAGTGGCATGGCTCGTCCATGCAGACGTGGTCCATCTCAGTGTTACTTTATATCTTCTATTCATATTAAATACATTGTTCTTTCTCTAGCCTAACCTTGTTCCTCATCATGTATTGGTAATTGATACGATACAGTGAGTTAGTGTAGTCGATGGTGTGACTTCCACGTAAGATCTTATAGATTAGGCATTTATATCATGACAAATCTACAAATTTAGGATTAGTTCTATTATAAGAGCAGTACTACTATCATAGTAGACCATAATTCTACAAGTTCACCCTTTTACATATATGCATTACGAAAGAGTATTTTTTGTTTTCATGTATTTTCGTGCACAAGGTATCCACACTGTGTTTATTTCCTTCCACAATACCAATCCGTTCTGGAGGCCAAGCACTTACATGGAACCGAAAAATTATCAATTACATTTATGTATTTCCATTTTGTATCTTATTATTTTATGCAGGCAGTGGAGCAATTCTTCAGGGTTGCTTGATTTTCACCATTACCTTTGAAGTAGATTCTTCTTTACCTTTTACTTGAGGGCGACTCAAGAGTCAGGTGAGTAAACACCTGATAGCCGGTCTGAGCATGGAAAATCGTACCTCACCAACATGGTGTTGGGTGGCTCGCTCGCGGCACTTCCTCAGATATTCTTATTCCACATTCTCACACTTTCTCTTGAAAGTACGCAGCAAACCGTCAGCGATAGTTATAGAAGAGATCACATGGTACAAAATAAGATGACAAGCTAGTAAATGAAGAGACATCCATGGACTATCGTTGACAGGGTCAGTCGTCACTGATTGTAAGTCAAACAGTGAGCGAGTTGATAATTTTCCCTTGGGATGAGAAATAGAACTAAGGTGTTTTCGATAGTTCGGTTAATCGAACCGACGTTCCTACCGAAGTCGATACTACGGGGAAGCTAATGCAACAGTTTAGGTTGGTTGGTTAAGAGTTGACCCCAAACAACCAAGCATATGCCAAAACAGTATTGTTCAAGTATTCATTTACTTCCCTATTTTGTATAAGCGTTATATCCCCTATTATCTTATATTGAATGTTGAGAGCCTTCATTTGTCTGAACATATAATCCCACGCTCCACTGTGACTGCGCGAAGATCGAAATAAATACCTATTCACTACTTGTCTGGTTTCCTCTATCAATAGTGCGAGGGTAATTTAAGGCACGAAAGATTCAAAACTTCTCCTTTCTCTCGGTTTGAGACGTCAGTAACAAGCCTTAACCAACAATGTCTTACGAAAGCAGACGTAATTCGCGAACAGACATACTAGGCCATATCAAATTATAAAATGTAAAATATACATGAATAAATTGGAAGGTGGTTATGATTGGAGTAGGCCGTAAATAATAGGCTGAAAAGTGATTACGGAATGGTGAATCGGATAAAAATATTGAGTGAGTTATTCGAGAGATCATGTTGAATGAAATCATTCTGTTTATGTATCTATATAATCTGAACACTTGATAAGTATACAATAGAGTGATAATCGATATACTGTAGAATTATGGTCTACTATGATAGTAGTACTGCTCTTATAATAGAACTAATCCTAAATTTGTGGATTTGTCATGATATAAATGCCTAATCTATAAGATCTTACGTGGAAGTCACACCATCGACTACACCAACTCACTGTATCGTATCAATTATCAATATATGATGTGGAACAAGGTTAGGTTAGAGAAAGAACAACATATTTAATATGAATAGAAGATATAAGGTAACATTCAGCAGAGACCACGCCTGCATGGTCGAGCCATGCCACTCGATCAACTCAAATCAATTTAATTCATTGTTCGCGCCCTCTCCATTGTTAGGTATTTCTCCGTGTTAAATACTGAATATCTATTTTCTGAGTAGTGTTGTGTTCAGCTTTGAAGATTGTGTGGTTATGGTCCAATGCCACTAGAAGACATTCGAAGAAATGAGCATCCGTTCTGTTATCAATTTTCATTCGATTATGACAGACAATCAAATTAGGCATAGAAATTCACGGTTTATTTTCATAACTAAAGAGAGATGATGCCTACCCACGATTCATTTATGTGTATTCGATCGCAAAACGCCTGGGTATCAAGATAGTTTAAGTTGAATTACTCTTCTGCTAAAGATAAAACATTATTCGGTTATGATCTCATCTCAGAATCTATATGCGCTATATATGTTCACAGATTTCAGTTACTTGCAATGATATCTACTTAAAGCATCCATGTACTTTGTCATTTTCATCTGATATATCTTTTCTCTATATCTTTAAACAGTGTGATAGATGAAAGGTTGCACTACATCACAGGGTTGTGTAATGATAGAAATATTGGTGATGATTCCCAAATTCTTTGAAATTTCGTCAGAATGACGTTGATCACATTGTCATATGTTGAAAGTAACGATTGAACACGGATCTTATTTGATTTCGTGAACACGAAATTCAACAACTGTGTTTCATACACATAACTCCCTGTGCAGGTCATTCATGTCATGTGTGATGCTATTGCTTATCTGAATCAATAGTGCAATCACGTACAAAAAGAATCCTTAATTCATACTAACACCACAAGTTAGTAGCAGTAAAGGTAGTATAGCGTATGAATAAAGTGTGTGTGTATGTTTTAATTGTTTAGACAGAAGAACATAGTATTGTTCAAGAATTGAAAGTAGAATTCAGACGGATAATAGCGGAAAGAAGAGAAAAGAAGAGAGAAGATAAAACGGTTAGCAACTAAAATAAGAACGGAAATGAAAGGACGATGGTGTTTGTGAAAAGCAGTTGAAGAAAGTTAGGTTAATTATTTACATCATGTACTTTTTACAGATTTCAGTTATGCAGTATGTGTATTGGCATAACTTAATAAATCTGTTTACTATTACCTACTCTCTATATTAATAACAGATACAAACACGTCGTATCGTAACACATTACAATTCATGATGAAGGACACACTTAAATTAGAGATAGATGGGCATGACATTCAACTAGTTTCGAAGTGTATCATCTTCACTGTGCTTTTTACGTCCAGAAACCCTTCTCGTCGTATATGAGTGGTAACTATTTCGACCCCACGTCCCAATACTTGCTATTTAAAATAATAATAAAACAACAACAGGATTCTTCAGCTACCTATAATATTGTAATAAGTAGTCTAAAAACATCTCTATAGAATAGTAAGCTATTTCGTTAAGAAAATACAAATAAAGAAAATCCATTAATGGAACGACTTCAGAAAGACAGTAGAGAATCGAAACAGATCATTGTTTTCTCAATAACGGTTTAGCCAAAAATCTACGAACGGTATTTGATTTTGCTCCCTAATGCCCTTGTACGGTCGAGAGTGGGGAGAGTCTGCACTCCCACTCGAAATACTCTCACATGAACATGTGCATACAACCACTGACCACCTTCTCGTAGCATTACTGTTATTAACTAAATCGTGAAGGCGAAAAGCAAACTCGTGAATGCGAAACGCTACGTCTTGCTCTACAAATGCTCTCACATAGTCATGCGTAGACAGACACTACCAGAGAAATCCTACTGTCCGTTTCTCGTAGCATTACTGTTGTTTACAAAATTGACAAAAGTAGTATGTATCACTAATCGAAAGTGAAATGTCTGGTGACGGAAAATTGAGAATAAGAGGACGAGAATGGAATATACTACTAATCCCTCATTCAGACTATTAACCTCATTCATTGTTACTACCATAAAAACACAATTATTACACAATGTATATAAATCAATTACCTACCGACAAACCCTATGATGTGAACTTTGATTGCTATCCTATTCGTATATATGAATAGAAAAGTAGGTGTTGTTTCACTATGTAACTCATAATCATTCCACTTTTAATGGAACGAATAAAACGTCCTAAATGTTAGATCTTTCGAAGCGTCCAAGTCACTTGATTGAGATACGCGCAAAACCAAAATTTCAAAAACAACGATTTGTCTACAATAGCGTTTCTTCATTGAATAATTTACAAAATGTAGTTACAAACATCAAATTTTGAGGTGTCTGGGGCGTTTAAACACGTCCTTCAAGTATGAAAATAAAAAGGCTTCCTGTAACAGTAACATAAAGAATAATTACAACATACGATAGTACAAAAGACGGTTAATACCTGTGTTTTATAACAGTTTATGGACAATGGAAACCCGAACCAAGAGCAAAACTTTATGGAAACTGTTAATAATAATAATAAGTTTCTGCATGTGCAGGTGCACACCGTTTTTACAGGCATGATCTATAAATTACAACATTTGTTGGTTCACAAAATGCTTCCCAACTTATTAAGTTTATAGTTGTTATAAAGTGTAATCGTAGAGCGCTTGCTGTAAACTATGACCTTGCGAGAGCGCGTACGTCAAGTTTGCTCCAAACGTCAGAAGTTTCATAGCTGTGCTCTCAGAGCAAGATTCTGAAGAAGAAAAAAAGAGAAACAGAAGAGCAGCAAGGCACTTGGATATGAACGCCAAAGGTTGCTTAACATTGTGTAGTGGAACGGACAGAGGTATAATAAATTAGAATAAATTCATATTATGTCTTGTTATAGTGAACTGAAGTCAGAGGCTCCATATTAGAGAATGTAGTAATAAAGAACAATGAGTTGTGATGTTTAACAAGTTGGAGTAAGCTCACATGAAGAAGGGAATTCAAGGTTGGTACAAGGGAAGCGGTTTATTAGAAGGGTGTGTATATAGAGGGTGAAGTGTTAAGAATACTAAAGACTATATCTTTCGTTATCTTTTTTTTTCTATCCGATGCCAGCCACATAATCCTAGTGTATAAGTCCGAGTTAGCATGTTATAGGTTGTCTTAGTAGAATAGCTAATCCAGCATAATATTGGAAACATGAGTCTGAGTGGTGAGCGTAGGAAGACAATCTATATCACAGATTGGTTGACTTATTCTCAATCATGAGGAACCTGATACATACAAAATATTCTGTCCCCACAAACACGGTGGATTGAAGTTATCGTCCTCACCATCACTGCTTGCTGGTCAGTAACTCCACACTCCCTCCTTTTGTGATGTTAGGCTCATTTAGGCTTATTTTTGTATATACGTCATACCTCACACAATCCTCTGTTTCACAACCTGTTGGAAAGCACTATTTCTATAAGTACCATTTTACAAGCTTATCAGACAGTTATAAGGGTGAAACTCTATTTTATGGAC